AACATGGCTTGAAAATGTCAAATGATAAGCCTCATGCAGTGAAAATGACAGAAGCTCTTACCCAGTATCAATCAGGCATAATGTCCTGATGTTGGTACGCAGACAGTGTATTACTTTCTGAGGTGGTAACGCTATATAAGAAGTTTGTGAACCAGTGCCTTAGAGTTTTCGAGTGACGTTTTTAAATCGTAATTAACCCGCTGATCTATACTTGTTCACAGAGACTAAAAAACAATGATCAGCCCCTGCACTGGCTGTTCAGTGGATCGTTTGTATATAGTTTTGCTCAGAGTTTCACAAGTTAAAATAGCAAATATTATATTATTTTTTTAGACATTGCACAACCTTAATTGGTATTAGTGAGTACTAGAAAGCGAGCATCTGTATTTGTACTCGATCTGAAAAAAATGGTATCAGTGCATCGTACCACTAGTGACTAGCCTATGTTTTGGTATGAATGCATCACAGGTTTTGTCACACAACTTGTGCACCGTGATGAAAATCCCCCATGACCCAGTTGCTCTTGAGGAACACTTCAAGGATGATGATGAGGGTCCTGTCTCCAACCAGGGCTATATGCCCTACCTCAATAAGTTCATACTGGACAAGGTAAGCACCCACTGACAACTTCTCAACCTCTCTTCATCTACGAGGACTATCCTTTCAAGGAAGTTGTGAAGGATGGTGTCACATTGCTGGTATGTCAGAGCCTAAGGATGGTAAGACAACCCAGAGATCTGGAGATGTGCAGTCAAACCTCTGCACTGGGGGGAAAAAGCATCTCCTCTGGCACCCAAATGAGCTTCTTGCTATCTAGCTTGAACTGTTTTGTTTTCTTTTCCTAATAGTGACATGAAGTAACTGGAAGATAATGGTTAAAACTAAACCACCATAACATCGATCTTCCTCTTATCTACACAACGCTCATTTCTCCAGGAGTTTTGTGCGGTTTCAAGATGGCGATTGGCCATTTTTTTCATTCTGCCCCACCAGCACCCCTGTATCTCTCTAGCCCACGCTGCCACAGTGGAGTGTGGGGCCTGTCCCCTGCTTTCCCCTCGTCCTCACATGCTTGCAAAGAGCCACACACTCTTGAAAGTGCTGCTTGCATTGTTCTGCTAGACCAGTGAGGTCATACCGCCCAGAAAAGAAGCAAGGTCCAAAATAGAAAAGCAAAAACTTACCCACCCTACACATGTCCGGTGTGTGTTTAGGGACCTACTAGGTGACATGCATAGATTACGCAGATTGTAGTCTCTGCCAGTATCCTTCACAACTTATTTTGAGTTTGTGTAATATATAGTATGGTCTGGCAGCATGCCAGTGAGAGTATGCTCTCCTTAAACACTCTTTATATGCGTTTCTATTTATATGTTGTATATATGGTTTATATGGTGTATTGTTGCCCCACCGCTCCAGGTTGCGGGTTCGAATCATGCCATCTCTCCATGTCCATGTGGCATTGGCATGTTCTCCCCGTTTGGGTGCTCCTGTTTCTTCCTGTCCTAATTCACTATGTGTACCCCTGCCCTGTGCTGTCTGGAATAGGCTCCATGCCCCCTACGAGCCTGACCAGGATTAGCGGTTAGAATATGGATAGATAAATATATAAAAAAGACTTCCACATCAGACTATGAACAGCTTTGGGGAAACAAAAAAAAGAACAGAAATCTGTTTCTAGATTACCTTCTCCTCTCCTTCAAATGCTAATGAATATGTACTGAGAGGCAAATGGGGCTTTGCTTGTTGGCCTTTTTAACAAGGCTGCCGTTGTTGAGGAGCGGAGAGTGGGAGAACATACTGGATGGGCAGACTGGGTGGAGGGAGGAGCCTGAGCCTGGAGACAAAGCAGACATAGCAGAGATGGCTGAGCTGCAGAACCTAGGCTGCTGCACTTCAGCCATCCTTTATAATGCCTTTATAATGCAAATACAGTACATTCAGTGCACCATCATAATACGCTCATAGAACATTCATAAGAAGCATGTAAGTATACCATAACATCCTAGCATACCTTAACAGCATTAATATATATTAATAACAAACATGATTATACAATTACACTGCTTGTTATTATCATATAATATTTGATATTAATGTATGTTAAAGCTGTTAAGGTATGTTTGGATGTTATGGTGTACTTACATGCTGCTTATGAATGTTCTACGAATACATTATGAAGCTGCAGTTAATGTAAAGTGTTACCTAATATAATAGGTGATAGTTTGGATACTTAAACATGGCGTTTAGGATTACAGGAATTTATATCCAAAGATAAAGTAAAATATATCAGTAAAACGAACAAATATGTATATCTGTTCAGTTGCTTTTTTGTTTGCTCTGAAAAGCTGCCATTTTTGTTCTGTTGGTGTTTCATTATGTATTACATACAACACTGAAAGGCATTGCATTTGTTCACTTATGAGTAACTTAAACCTGTTAGACTGGCTGTTACTGTCTTTGTCTCCCCCCCCCCCATTACTGAGATTTCAGCAACACTGCAACCAACACTGATGTGGCAGAAATGTAGTAGTACACTCTTACTTAATGTATTAATTAACCAGAAACAAACTGTTAGTTATGTACTGATCCCATGTTCGTTCATTATTAATCAATCATAACGGTGCATATATTTCAGTTACTATATTTGTTCATGATTTGTACTTGAGTAGTAACTGATTTACTGAGTTACTGAATGACTGCCCCTTCAAGGAAAAGGTGTGACTGAGTTTTCCAGTAAACAGTGTCTCCATGGCAGTGTGGCCCATGTTTATTTTAGCATTAATATTAGTTGTTTACAGAGAGCATTTCCTGTTCAGCATCACGTTCATGTTTTAGAATTGGGAGCAAACAGGCATAAGAAGGTTTGACTTTCATACCACAGGTCCAAGACAACTTTGACAGACTAGAATTCAACAAGATGTGTTGGACTCTGTGTGTCAAGAAAAACCTCAACAGGAACCATCTCCTCATCAACGAGGAGGATGCGTTCAAGGTCTGGTGCATTTTCAACTACCTGTCAGAGGACAAATACCCCCTGGTCATTGTCAGCGAAGAGGTGAGTCTGGGTCTCTGTTTGTCTCACAGATGAGAGTTGCTTTATGAAGCCGTCAGCATGTTGTTTAACAGGCATGTTGACATAGACTCTGCTGCAAGTGAATTGTGGGTAAAATTTCAAAATGGAGGTGTTTTGTTGTATGAGGCATTTTGCAAATTTAAATGGCATATCAGCCCAACATACCCACAGTGCTCTATAGTCGAATGTGGAGCAGTAACAGTAGTCACTATAATTTCACATAACATTTTTTTTTCCAACCATAAACAAAGAATAACCAAATTCTTGATGGAGCGATGAAAAAGTGCAGGGTTTTATGCCTGTTATTACACTTAGCATGGGCATATGAATAGTTTCAGTATTCAGTTCATAAAACAAGGCAGAAAAGTATCTGTCTATTTAGCTAACAAATGGAGATTGAGTAGGGCAGAGGTCACCAACATGGTGCCCGCGGGCACCAGTATGCCCTCAAGAACCACATGAGTCGCCAGCGGACCTGTTCTAAAAATAGCACAACTCACCAGTGAGCAGCGTCTAAAATTTAATTTTATCCTCTTGCTATTCTTCTTTAATCACATTTGCATTTATATAGATTTGAAAATGATAATATCCAAAAAAAAAATGTTTATTATACATAAAGTTTAGAGGAAGTTTGGAGGGAGTTTCAAACTGGTAGCCCTTCGTATGGCTCAGTACCCGAGAAGTAGCTCTCAGTTTCAAAAAGGTTGGTGACCCCTGGCGTAGGGTGCTTAAGATACTAAGGAGGATTATGGAAGAATCTGTGATTAACAGTACTGTGTATCGTTGTAAATCAACAGTCCTTATCTGGAATGGAATTGTTGAAATAGTATTTAGTATAACAATATAATCTATATCAATGAGATATCAAAACTTTCAGACCGATTGGGAAAGAGACCTTGCTTGTCCCCATATACAGCTTTATATTTTATTCTATAATCTTTAAAAAACATGTGTTGTTACTCTGACTCTGCTTTAAGTCAGATGAGATCTCTCCCAGCTTGGGTAGCAACATTTTTTTCCACTGAAGGGGACTGTCTAGGTTGTAAATAGACCTTCTGTGTGTAAAAATGACCACATATGGGAGAGAATGAAAATGCCAAGAAGCCATTTATTTCCTCAAATGATATCACCAGGACCAGATCTGATGCTTACTCATGTACGAAATGGCAATGAAGTGAAAATCAAATTATATAACCTAACATTAGGTTTGAATATTGATACAGGTACGAACAGAGTACTTTGCAAAGTTTGCAGAATCAGCTATAATGGGTATATAAATTAAAAAATATGTATTGATTACTTAGTTGAGTACATAGTGGAGATTACTTGTTGGTAAATGGAAATGAGAAAGACAGTTATGATGCATTATGAAGCATCTTCTGAGAGCCCTTGGTCTAAAAATGAGCACCAGTCATGTGCAGTGAAGCCAAATCTGGCTTTCCAGTCAAAGGTTCCGAAACTACAGGGTGCTTTTCAGAGTCAGTGAAGCACGGAGCACTGCTTACGTGTTATAGGTATGTATTTATAGGCCGAGCCACTTGCACCTGAATGTGCCCATATCGACGTCTTCTGTCCTCAAGTCAATTTCCCATTAATCAGGGTTCAGCTGCACATGAGCCGTCACTCTTCCGAAAATCTTCCGACGTAAAGCGTAGTTACGTATGTGAGAGCAGCTTCACTTTTGTAAAGACACAAAGAGAGCAGGAATAGCTGTGCTTTTAAACAGTGCCACCAGCATCCCCTTCGAAACACTCATTTGTCTTCGTGGGAGCTGAAAGGTCCCATAAAGCTCCATTGAGTTGCTAGAAGGCCATTCAGGGAGTGTGACCTGCTCTGGTGCCCCATCAGCAGCCGTAGAACGGAAGTAAGCTGCTTCCTGTGGCAGTGGGACCCTGATTCACGCCGGTGTTAGCTGTCCTCTAACTGGAAACCGCTTGAATTTCTGGAAATGGACTTAAAAAATGTGATGTGCCTATTATGCTTGATTAGTCATGAGTCACAGGCCAGTCTCAACACGCTCACCCACAGATTGAGTATTTTCTTCGGAAGCTGACGGAAGCGATGGGCGGCGGCTGGGCCGAGGAGAAGTTTGAGAAGTACAAGGTGCAGCTGCAGAGGAAGCAGAACTGTCTGAGTGTCTGGGAGCTGATCGAGCTTGTGGGCATGGGCTACTTCAGCAAGGGCATGGACCGGCAGACCCTCTCCATGGGCATCACCGAGATCTTCCAAGAGCTCATCCTGGGTGTTATCAAACAAGTGAGGCTGCCACTCTCTGGCCAGAGGCGTGTTCCACCACAGCCGTCACTCCCACCACCAGCTGCTAGCTTTTTGTTGTTTTGATGGTCTCAGGTTGATCAGTGGTCACAGATGATGAGTGATCAGTGCACACTTTCCCTTTACATTTCTCAAGTAAAACCAGCTTAGATGATTCCGTTGTAATTCCTGTCAAGATTAGTCTTGGGGGGATACATGACAGAGGTGCTTCGATTTTCACATTCGGGACTCCTTTTGGTAACATTTAAGATCTGCCAGGTAGTAAGACCAACTGAGATGCCCAGCTACTGTTCCACAGAACAGTCAGTGAGTTGATATTCAGGCCTCATGCCTCTGGAGATGCCACAGCCAGGGAGTTTTGGCTGCTCTCGGCGCCATCGCCGCCGCTGTCGGTTTCGGAGCCGCACACGGTGTGAATGCCGCCCTTTCAGGGCTCTGCATTTGATGTCCCCCCTGGCTCCGGCTGAAAGGCCGCGACTGGAATGGCGCAGTGCTGCCGTTGCCAAGCACTGCCAGCTGTGGACTTTTTGCCCCTCGCTAGGAAAGCCGCGGAGGTGCTCCTGCGCCCGCCGTAATCGCTCGCCAGCGCTGCTTCACATGCAAATTTAACTGGCTTTCAAGTTCAACACACAGACATGGCAAATGCAACACTTCTCATCGCCTCGCTCCTTAGATTAGCATTTCAGGTAAACGGGGGTTTCTCTGCGATAGATTTTTTATGGTAGTCACTGACTCGGCAGGGGAAATCCCCTTTTAGAAATAACAATGAAGGTGTTTAGATTTTTAAACATTATCTGCCCTGTGTTAATGCCTGAGGGAAGCCTAGTAATGACAAAATGCCAACGGACCACATTCCAGCGCCGTGTTCTGTGCTCTGGCTGCAGGGGTATATGATGAAAAAGGGTCACAAAAGAAAAAACTGGACGGAGCGCTGGTTTGTGCTGAGACTCAGCTCCATCTCCTACTTTGTGGGTGAGGACTTGGCAGAGAAAAAGGGGGATATTGTGCTGGACAGGAACTGCTGCGTTGAGGTGAGAGGTCAGGCGCTGCAGTCCTTTTTCCTATCCGTACTTTCTCGCCATTTGTACACTGTGGACTTTTGTGTGGCTTATATATAATGGGTCCTGCAATAAAGCATCCTGGCTAATTTTGTCTGTTATTGTGTTTATCGCTGGGATTTTTATATTTTTGTTTATCACTAATATGGAGTGGACATACTAGAAAAAGGTTCTTGCACATATTAATTGGCTAAATAAAGCTGATTCTGATTTTAGGTGTTTGGTATTAAGCAAGTCAGGTATACTGTGAAAATAATCCTATGACTGAATTTCTTGTTTACTTGTATAACGCAACACCTATAGTAAACAAAAACAACAATAGTAAAGGATGCCAGAGTGGTAGATTTTCACTCTGATTTCCAATGCGCTGCATTGTTTCCATGTGATCATCATGATACACGTTGATGTCTATGCCCCTCCCGTCTGAAAGGAATGTGTTTGAAGTGTTTTCTGTCCCCCAGTCTTTACCAGACAAGGAGGGAAGGAAATGTCTTTTCATCATCAAATGTTCTGACAAGAGTTTTGAGATCAATGCTTCAGACAAAAGGAAGAAACAGGAATGGATTCAAGGTACAGCTTCTCTCACCATATGCAAAATTCCGTTTGAAAATAACCTGTCAGGTCCTCCCTCCATGCATCAGTGACTCTAGATTTTTTGTATTTATTCATAGCTGTTGATAGTCGCTATTAAGGTTCTATTTTCATTTTGTGTCCTTATCTATGTTGCATCTTTTTCGTTTGGTGTACGTTTTCTTGAATGGTACCACTTTACTTGATGGGGCAGACATACTGAATAATGACTGAGTTACTACTGAGGTACAAATGAACAATTCATGAACAAATATAATTGCTACTTGAGATAAAAGATGTCACGATTAATTAACGATGAACAAACATGAGATCAGTATTTCACTTGTATTCATTGTTCCTTCAGTAGTTCACAAAAGTTTACAGAATTAACAGATATAGTAAATATAGTAACTGCTTGGGATGAAAGATGCATTGTGATTCTTTAATGATGAATTAACATGAGATTAGTATGTAATTAATTGTGGTTAACTAATACATAAGTAATAGTACAGTACTATATAATAATAATAATATTTTATTTTTTGCTGATCCTATTAATCCCCCATTGTGGGATTAATAAAGTCTAATCTAATCTAATCTAATCTAATCTATATTTGTGTCCCATCTAGGAAAGTGTTACCTCTTAAATGCTGCATCTGCCCCCCTGACCATGTGACCCTCCCTGTGCCCCCCTTAGCCATCCAGACCTGCTTGAACCTGATAAGACTGGGACTGCCGGCTCCTCACCAGTACGCGCAGCAGAAGCGCAGGGAGCTGCGTGTGCGGCAGCAGGCCGAGCTGGAGGAGCTGGAGAACAGTATGATGCGGCTCCAGGCCACCAACGAGACGCGGCAGTGCGAGCTGGAGACCCTGAGGATGGTACGGCCCCCTCACCGCCCCCTTCCACACGCTGAGCGAAACACAAAGTGCTACCCAGGTAGTCCAAGTCAGGATACAGAGCAGGGATCCCCAATTCCGGTCCTGGAGGGCCAGTCTGCGACACAGTCTGCAGATTTTCCAGCTCAAACACAACTTATTCGGCTCACTGTTTTTGCAAACTAATTGTACGTGTGTTTAAGTACTCCAGTAAGTACTCCAGTAAGTACTCCGGAGCTGGGGAACCCTGATATGGAGTAATTCAGCAAAGTACCAGAAGTAAAGAAGCCACCACTACTGAGGTGACTCCTCCCTACAAAAAATTGATTATGCATTATTATTATTATTATTATTATTATACATGCATGTGAATGGAAACGGTCCTCAAAGTGTAATATTTTCTGATTTTTTCCCTATAAGATATATTTAACGTTGCTTTTATAAACATGTCCAGGAAATTAGCAAGAACCTAAAACAGCCAATATTATATTAAAATAGTAAAGTAAAAAGAGCTCTTGTATTGCAATCACAATTGACAGTTGTGTATTTTAATCAGAACTGAAAAAAATGTGGACCGGCCCATCCCTAGGTAGAGCTCATGCAGTGATGGTGCCGGGAGGGAGAGCACAGGAGGCATAACATCCATTGCACTGCATTTGTTAAAGATTGTTAAACATAACTGATGATGTTGATTTAGTAATAACATTGGGTGAGTACATTTTGGGGGGAATCTCAGGATCTCGTTTAATTTTTGGTGTTTTTTTTTTAAATTAGCTTAATACTTAATTCTGAGGTTGCTGTAGCGCACTGATGTTCAATACAGCACTGGTCAAAGAAAATTGTAAGTGCAGTATGTAATGATGGTAGGGTATTCGTGGCAGATCCCACAGGTGTGAAATGGTACTTGAGAGGCTGAAAGTTTAATGGTACACTGACATAACCTAAACTACTCTCCACAATGACTTAGAGGCTTGTGCACAATAAATGCAATAAACAATACTCGAAGAACATCAATAAATGCAATAAACAATACTCGAAGAACATCAATAAATGCAATAAACAATACTCAAAGAACATC